ATTTATTTTGTCATCCACCTTTCAATTCTGCCTTTCCTTTGCTGCCTTCATTCTATGCTTTTAACTCAATTATGCCATCTTCTGCCCCCAACGAAAGCAGTTCTAAGAGGAAAATTTATAGTACTGTGGCCTACATTAAAAAATTAGAGAGATTCCAAATAAATAAGCTATGCTACACCACATAGCCTTAGGAAAAGAAAAAACAACTAACTCCCAAACCAATAGAACCAGAAATAATTAAGAGCCACAAGTAATGAACTTGAGAATAAGAAAACAATATACAGGATTTGTAAGCAAAAAATAACCAAAATGGTTTTGGCACCATAATGAAAGTACAAATAACTGGGATGGGAACAAACTTCATGAATTAGCTATGCCTTTTATTCAGCAATGGAATCAGGCAGCAGAGTGCTCACTTTCTGGGTAGAAAATGGCACTGATTACCGGGGAGGTCTAGGTTTATATAGGTTACACACTGGGAGATGACTTAACCATTGAAGACTTTAATAGGACCTATCAGTTTGTGCATTCAGGAAACAGGTTGAAAGAATTTGAAATTAATTTTTACTGGGCAAGGATGATAGGTCCAAAGTTCAGCATTCAGCACTTATCTCTTTCCCTCTAAGGTCTATTGTACTGTCACAGACTTTGATTTTTAGGCTGGATTGATATCACATTCCCACAGTCTTGTCACTGGAAAAGCATGTTTTGGGAAAGAATCAATGTTATCAATGTACTGCCTTCTTCCTCCCTCCCTCTTCCCAGGCCACACTATTTAGGGGATGTCATTTGTATATCCTTCTGGATTAATGCAGAGTTGGTTTTTTGAAGAGATAAATAAGATTGACAAACCTTTAGCCAGACTAACCAAAAAAGTGAAAAGAAGCAAATCAATAAGATCAGAGATGTAAAAAGGAGATATCCCCCAAAGACCCTTCTGAAATCCAGAAGATTATCAAAACCTATTTTGAAAATTTATACTCCAATAAACTGGGAAATCTGGAAGACATTGAAAAATTTCTAAACACATGTGACCTGCCCAGATGGAATCAGGAAGGTACAGAAAACCTACACAGAACAATATCAAAAAATGAAATTGAAACAGCAATTAAAAGCTTTCCAAAGGTTTATAAAAGCCCCTGACTGGTTGGATTCTCAGCCAAGTTATTCTCAGTCACCTTTACAAAAAAAACTAACACCAGTCTTCTTATTATTGTATGAAATGGAAAGAGAGGGAATACTCCAAATGACATTTTATGAAGCCAGTACAATGCTGATACCCAAAGCAGACAAAGACACATCAAGGAAAATAAACTATAGACCAATACTCATGAACATAGATGCAAAAATCCTTAATAAGATATTAGCAAAGCACACTCAAATATACATAAAAAAATAATACACCATGATCAACAGGTTTTAATTCCAGGGATAAAAATATGGTTCAACATTCACAAATCAATAAATGTAATTCATCACTTAAACAGAATTAAAAGCAAGAAGCACATGATCATCTCAATAGATACAGAAAAGGCCTTTGATAAAATCCAACACCCATTCATGTTAAAAATGCTGGAGAAGCTAGGGATCAACATTGTAAAGCCCACTTATAACAAACCCAAAGCCAACATCATACTGAATGAAGAAAAACCAAAATCATTTTCTCTAAGATAAGGAAAAGACCAGACTGTCTAGTCTCACCACTCCTATTCAATATAGTCCTCAAACATTAGCCAGAGTGATCAGGCAAGAAAAGGAAATCAATGGGATGCAAATAGAAAAGGAAAAAGTCAAACTCTCTCTGGTTGCCAATGATATGATCATATATCTAGGAGACCCCAAAAACTCCACCAGAAGGCTCTAGAGCTGGTAAGTGACCTCACCAAAGTGGGAGGATACAAGATCAACACCCATAAATCAAGAGCTTTTCTGTACACCAACAGTCATTCAGCTGAGGAAGAAATTAGGAAAACTATCCCATTATAATAATCTCAAAAAATATTAAATACTTGGGAATTAATATAACCAAGGTGGTAAAGAGCTCTACAATAAAAAATATAGAACAATGAAGAAAGAAATGGAAGAAGAGCTTGGAAGATGCAGAGATATCCTGTGTTCTTGGATAGGCAGAATGAATATTATCAAAATGGCCATGCTACCAAAAAGCAATATAAAGCAATATACAGATTCAATGCAATGCCCATCAATATACCAATCACATTCTTCACAGAATTAAGAAAAAACAATTCTTAAATTCATTTGGAAGAATAAGGGACCCAGAATAGCCAATGCAATACTAGGCAAGAAAATCAAAGCAGTAGGTATCCCAATACCTGATCTGAAATTATACTGCAGAGCTGTAGTAACAAAAACAGCATGGTATTGGCATCAAAATGGACATGAAGACCAATGGAGAAGACTAGAAAGCATTGAGACAAATCCACACACCTATAGCCATCTGATATTTGATACAGATGCCAAAAATACATCTAGGAGAAAAGACAGTCTTTTAAACAAATGGTGCTAGGAAAACTGGATGGCTACATGTAGAAAGATGAAATTAGACTTCTCTCTCTCACCCTGCATGCAATTCAAATTGAAATGGATGAAAGACTTCAGAATTAGACCAGAAAATTTACATCTGCTAGAAGAAAACATAGGGTCACTCCATCATATAGGTGGTGTCACTGACTTCCTTAAGAAGACCCTCAAAGCATAAGAAATGAAATCAAGAATCCATAATTGGAATGCCATCAAACTGAAAAGCTTCTGCACAGAGAAGGAGACTATTAGGAGTATGAAGAGAGAGCCTACAGAATGGGAGAAAATCTTGGTCAGATACTCCTCCTATAGGGGATAAATATCCAGAATATATGAAGAACTCAAAAAACTTAACATCAGGAAACAAAACCAAAAAAAAACACACAAATAACCCAATCAGTAAACAGGGGCAAAAAAAATTAAACAAAAACTTCTCAAAAGAAGAAATAACAAATATATGAAAAAAAATATTCAACATCTCTATCAAACAGGGAAATGCAAATCAAAACTAAGATTTTTATCTCACTCTAGTCAGAATGGCAATGAACAAGAATACAAATAACACTAAATCCTGGTGAGGTTGTGGGGGGAAAATGTACATGGCGGGACTGCAGACTAATACAACCACACTAGAAAACAGTATGGAGATTGCTCAGAAAACTAGTATGGAACCACCATATGACCCAGCTCTCCTACTCCCTAGTATTTTTCCAAAAGATCTAAAATCAGCATACTACAGCAATACAGACACCTCAATGTGTATAAGAGCACAATTTACAATAGCTAGCATATTGAACCTGTCAATAGATGAATGGATTAAGAAATTATGAGATATATATATATATAATGGAGTTCTACTCAGCCATTAAAAAAAGGAATAAAATTATGGCATTTGCTGGTACACAGATGGAAACGGGAATATCATGCTAAGTTAAATAAGCCAAACTCAGAAACATGAAGGTCAGATGTTTTCTATTATATGTTGAAGCTAGAGTAAAATAAAGGAGAGGGGGCAGGTAGGATAGGATAACAAAGAGAAAGGAAATATCAGTAATGTAGAAGAAGGAGATCAAGCGGCAGAGTGAAGGAATGGGTAAGGAAAGGCAATACAGAATGAATTATTTAAAAAAAAACATGATACATGAATATATACATATACCACAGGGAAATTTACTTTATTGCATAAGTAAAAAGAAACAATCAAATATAAATAAATAGATGAGCAAAATGGAGCCTAGAATAGAGGAAGGAGTGTAACAGAGGAGAGGGAGGACAGGAGGGAAAAAAAGGAGGAAGGAAAAGGGGGATCATGAATCAAAATTGAATTCCATGTATGTGTAAGATTGTCAGGATGAATCCAACTATGATGTACTATAAAGCTCTGAAAAAATTTAAAAGAAAAAATTATGTTGAAACTAGCTGGGCACACTGGCACACACACCTATAATCTGAGTTACTTGGGAGGCTGAGACAGGAGGATTGCAAGTTCAAGACCATCCTGGGCAACTTAGTGAGACTGTCTCAAAAGTAAAAAGAGCTGGTGATGTAATTCAGTGGCAGAACATTCCTGGGTTCAATTCCCAGTAATATGCATGTGCACATTCACACATACACACACACACACACACACACACACACACAGAGAGAGAGAGAGAGAGAGAGAGAGAGAGAGTACTAGGTCCCTGTTTTCATGCAAAAAAATGTAATCTGGTTAGTTTGTGTAAAATGTTTCAGGGGAAGAGGGTGAAGGATCACAATGGAAACTGGTTTTGCTCAGATTTTAAGAAGGTCTCCTCCTTTCCCCTCCAAGATTAAAGACTATAGTCCCTTGATTTGCATTTATAATCTGTCAAAGACATGGTAAACACAGAATATATTCCTCCATTACTTTTTGTGAAGGTGCACAACATAATTATCCATAATAAGCAAACCATTAAAGAAAAGGAATCTGGGTATGAAATATATGTAAAAACAATGAGACTCTGTGGCATTTTTGCATAAGCCTCCCCCAGTCAGCCACCTCTCTCTCCCTCCCCATCAATGTGGTAGATGCAAAGATCATACAAAGGTGCGTGCAGATAACGATTAGCAATCACCCTGCACAGAAAACTGACTCAACAGTGAGTAGGTGCAACACACACCTCATGTACTGTAGCTGTGCGTTACTCTTAGTGACAGGCAAGGAGAGATGGTCAGGGACACCACTAGCTTGCAGTTGTAGTTATGCTTAAAGCAAGTATGCTCTAGACTCTGCAGGAATGCACAGCACAGAGTGGAAAGAACCTGTCATCCACACATTCCTGGGAGACCAGGAGGCTCCATACATGCTCCCTGGAGATAGAAACATCCACAGGATAAATTACACATTAATTTAACGTAGCCTGAGTTTTGTACACAATCCCCTACTCACCACACATGCTCATGCTTTAGCAAATATAAAATATTTTTAATATACTTACAACAACCAAAAACTAAAGAAAATTCTCTCCCCCATGTCATCAGGCTAAGTGGAGAGCACTTCCTGCTTCGTGATAAGCATTCTCTGATTCCCTTATGGGTGACATCAGCAGGGCCACGTGGAGGCTGAGCTTTGCCCCGTGTCTGGAGGTAGTAGGTGGAAATCCAATGCCCTCACTGGGGCCAAGAAAAATCCAAACTTCCTCCCTCACCCACAAGCAACAAAGTTGAACAGGTCGATGCTCATTGGTATTCCACTTTCTATGCCAGTGGCACATCAGTGAGGCCAAGCAAGGAGCTGAACTGAGGTGCACTGCTGCCCATGCCACACTAGGCCAGCAAGGTCACCTGGGGAGCTTATCATGCACTTCCACATGGGATGTTAGTATACTGAGCAGCATTTCTTAGTCTTTTTCTCACATTTAATATATAAGTTATAAGAAGATCATAAATAATTCACATCTTCAAAAAAAATCTGTGTGTAGATTTAAAACCTCAGTAAACGTGTCAGGATTCTTTTATTTTAAGGAGTTTAAAGACTTTCTAATTGACTTGATCTTCCAAGGGGATAAATTCCCCTCAGGTAGGAAGACTTTACTCCTAAAAACAAATTATTCTTCTTATTAAAAGAGAGGATTTAAAGGTTCCCAATATCAAAAAAAAATGGCAAATGTTTAAAGAGATGGAAATACTAATTAATTGGATTTGATTAGTACCATTGAATACATTGAGCAAGGGTTTAAAATGTCAAAAGAATGGGGTCACAAAATTCTTTAGCTCAGGGGAAACATGAGGCATGAGACTACAGTGACCAAGGTCACTATAACCTTGCATAGCAGATTTCTACAGACATCCTGATGCCATGAAGATAATTAATAACCCTAATAAAGGCATTTCCTGCTATGGCAATTCATACCTGAAATGTATAACATCAATGACAAATGACCAATCCGTGTCCTACGCTATTCGTATAGATCAATGCAATTGTAACAACCAGTTTGCTGTAAACTTCTTGTCCATTTTATTTTTTGATATATTAAAATGCAGACCCTTTGGATTTCATTTTGGTAGAAACTTATTTTGGCAACTAGAATAAGTGTTTGCCTTGGGTGGCAAGACACTTTGTGGCTTAAATAAACCATTCTTACACTTGGTTTACATCAACTTGCCTTTTAGGGTAACACTTTTGGTTACCATGAATGGACCCCAAAATGACTATACTTGACTCCCTAGTAGCTCAATTTAAAAAAAGAAGAATTATCTGTCTTTGCATTAAATCGAGTACTGTCAACATTTAAGATTTTTGGTCTGTTTTATTTTTTCTTTGTTTTACTCTTTTGTTTTTCTCAGTATACTCCCTTAACAAGAGAAAATTATATTTTATTTTTGTATTAGTTTTCTAGGTCTACCATAACAAAATACCACAGACAGAGTAACTTAAAAATTAGAAACTTATTTTCTCAGCGTTCTGAAGGCTGGAAGTTCCCAGTCAAGATGTCATCAGATTTGTTATCTTCTGAGGTTTCACTGCTTGGTTTCAAGATATCTGCTCCTTTCCTGTGTCCTTGCTGGTTTTTTCTCTGTGTATGTGCACTCTTGATGTCTATGCATCCAAATTTTCTCTTCTTATAAGGATTCCAGTAAAATCAGATTTTGGTACACCCAAAAGCTTCACTTAAATTAATCACACTAAATACCTAGTATGTAAGTACAATCAAAGGATGAAGTATTAGGGGGAGGAGCACCAACACCTGATTTTGCAGGGACATAAGTAAGCCCATAACAACCACTGTTCACTAAACAAGGTAAAGTAGAATTTCACTGAAATATCAGTGTCAAAACTTGATGAATGTGATATCATGTTTTATATTTCTGAGAGTAAGAGGTTGTCAACCATTCATCAGCATGAAGTCACGTGCTGCTTAGAATTTCTATGGTATACTTTAAAAAGATACTACTTTTGACATTTATAGATATTCCTATATTACAGAAAATTCAATAATTTATCTTGCCTTCAGTATATGGCTTTTTATATGTAAGGCATTTTTTTAAAATGTCTCAGAAATTATGAAAAAGGTTTGTCAAATTATAGATATTTTGTATTTTCAAGTACTGTTTCAGAATGAATGAATGGACTGATGAATAAACAAACTGTGACTATTCTACTAATAAGGTATATTTCCAGCTGGGATTGAGACTTAGAAGTAGAGGGCTTTCCTAGCATGAGCAAAGCATTGAGTTCTACCCCCAGTTTAAAAAAATAAAATAAAATAGAAGGAAAGAGAATATTTCTTAGTTATTAGAAAATTCTATCCCATTTTCTTTTTTCCATAGTCTCATGTATGTGTGATAACTTTATACTTTAGCACTATATTATTCCTTTAATTGAAGTTGCACCTAAAGAAAACATAAAATTAAATTCATATGTTAAAGAAAATAATATATGTACAAAATACTCTTAAATGGCAATGAACTCAACTACTTACATGTGTGATCACCAATTCTCCTGATTCACTGCAATGACAGCAACATTGAAACATATGATAAAGTTTGTACAGGCACAAGCAATGACAGTTATGTCAGAACTACCAGCAGGCCAACAGTTAAGATGTCACAGAGTATAATGTGCATGCTGATTTAAAGAAAGTTACATGAAAAGAAGTGTGTTTCTTAGTATCCCTTGAGTATGATCTATCCTTTGAAAAATCATTACACTAACCATAGAGAGCACTTTCTAAACATGTGCCACTTCATTTCAGCTGCACCACACACTTTGAAATGTTCTCCATGCAGACACTAAGACTGAGAGAACATAAACACAAAAATTGCAAGAATCTGGAGCCAAACCAGATCACATGGTACCAATTCCAGTGGTCCTTCCACTTTGGGATACTTGTACCAATATGGTGAAAACACAGGATTCAGGGCTCTTCCAAGTACCACTTGACATCTAGAACCTCTGACTCATCTTTCAGGTATGCAAAATTAGAAAAAAAATCATCTTACCTCCTGCAGTTCATGGAAATTTGTTGTTATTTAAAGTACAGCATTTCACAAATTTCACTATAAATTATTCATGGAACCCTTAATATTTTTCCCAGATCAGTTAAAATGACATAGACAAAGAACAGAGGACTTCAAAACAGAGGAGGAGAAAGAAAGCCATCCTTTGTGTGATTAATAACACATAAATTCTTATTGTGCTTTAAAAACACCCACTCTTTTCCCTTGCAAATCCCCATTTCCTAATTAACTATGTACCACACACACTTCAACCACACCACAGACATGTTGGTCTATTTTCTATCCCTCATAATCATCAAGGTTTTTTACTGCCTCTGGGACTGTGACCCAGCTCTACCCTGTGAGGGAAATAGTCTACAGGTGACTGTCTTCCTCTGTCAGTGCTGTCTCTGCTCATATGCCACCTCCTCAAAAAAATCCCCTCATAATCACCCATTCCAAAGTAAAACACAGTGACTTTCTGTACCATCATCTTAATTTGAAATTTTGTATAGCATTTTCTGATATATTCACATGTGTGTGTATATATTTTTTGCTTATCAGCTACCTCACCCTCCTGCCCACCTGCACCTCCTGTGCACCTTACCATAGAAAATTAGCCCTCTGAAAGCACAGGTATTTTCTGTCTTCCTCACCACTGTCTTTTTTATGTTTAAAACTGCCTGGATGCTTTGATGTCTAAAACAGAATATATTTTCAGTCTATGCCTGCTGACTAAATAAACTACATCATCTGTATCATATAAAACTCTGAAAAAAAATGAAAGTGAAGATGTTAAAGAGAAAGACCTGGTTGTTAATGAATTAAGATTACAAAACCTATTTGAATAAAGGGCAAAAATTCCTCTACTGGGAGTTGGTAAACATTTGCAGCAGCAAACTGCTTGTAAAGAAAGATAACAGAATGTCCTCCTACTCACATTTTTGCCCAGAAGTCTTAGAGGTAAATTTAGAGGAGGTTCCCTTTATCCTGGCTGGTCTGAGTGGCTACTTCATTTCCTGTCCTTAGGAACTGGAGTCAAAAAAAAATTTTTTTGGCCTCACTATATCACATTCCCTTGAGGCTAAAGAGAACTGACCAGAGATCCATATCTCTCCCCTTTATAGAAACAAAGAAATTTGCCAAAACACAGTTTCCTACAACACTTAACAGTGGTTTATTAAATGGATAAAGAAATTACTGACACTAAGACTGCCAAATCATTATCTCCATGACCTACATTTTCAGGAATTTGACATATGTCCTTGTCAAAATCTCACAGCTGTGCTGGAGGCATAGTTCAGCAGTAGAGCTTGTATCTAGCACATACAAGGCCCTGGATTTGATGCACAACAAAGGAAAAAAAGATTTAAAAAAATAACGATTTTATCATTTCTGAGTTTATTATCATTCAACTTTTTCTATTTAAAACTACAATTTCTGTGTGGCTCAGTGGAAGTCAGCTTGCACAAAGAGCTGGGTTTAATTCCCAGGAACTACAAAAATAGATAAATAAATAAAATAAAAATACACACACACACACACACGCACGCACACGCACACATATATGGAATTTCTGAAAATAAACTAAAAAATGACAGAATGAACTATTCTTTCTACTCTGAAAGGATGATGGACTAACTCACATCTACATATTATCTTCATTTATGAAATAATTTCTATAATTAATTTAATTTTGTGTAATTTAAATCATTTGCATTTATTCTTTTTACTATTCTCTCCATCATTCTTTGGGTAGTGGTTGCTGCTATTGCTGCTGGGTTTTAGTGCTGGGGATCAAATCCAGGGCTTCATGGACATTTGACAAGCATTCTATCACTAATCTACACCCTTCATGCTTTTAAATATCATTTGCCCAACATAAGATTTGACATGTATAAGAAACAAAGTTTCTGTTTAGAAGAGCATCCTTTTCTTTTTTTAAAATTAATTAATTTATTTTAATTAGGTATATATGACAGCACAATGCATTTTTTATAGTTTATTAACTTATCTTTATTAGTTTGCCCTCCTTTTTGTTTCAAAAATTATGGTTTTAAGGATACAGATCCTGCATTTTCTTTTTTA